AGTAGTACCAGTATTTGCCTTGTGTTTTGCCAATCTGGATCATTTAGCCCCTTTAACAAAGGATGTAGACTTTTGTATTTTCCTAGTTTTGTATTTAATGCTGTAAAAGTGCTCTAATTCATAAAACAAGCCTAATTGAGCAGAGACTGCAGCTAATTTCAGGGTAAATGTAGACCTGGTGTAGTAATGAAATAATTTCCATAGAAAAAAAATCTGAAAATGTATTGCAGGCATTTTAAACAAAACTAAACATAGTGATACATTATTTGTGTTCAGCATAAGAAACCTGAGGATCTGAGTATGCATTTTAGCTCCATTACCATCTTAGACATTTATTTGTTTCATTTTGGTAAAGTGGTGGTATATTAGAGGCCTAAAGGGCTAAACTGAAGACAAATTCTTATTCCATAGAAGCATTGAAGTTTATTTTCATTCATGATATGTTGAGAACTTTTGAAAAGTACAATGGGTATTTTAAGTAGTAATTCATAAATACTTCTTATTTTCAGCCTTGTCTTGGTAATTTATATTGCCATTTGCTGATAATGCCTTGTTCTCTTCTTGTTAATAGAGGGGGTTGTTTATCTATTTACTAGGTGTCCCGTTTCCGAAGAATTTCATGTCTGTGGCAAAAACTATACTCAAACGCCTCTTTAGGGTTTATGCTCACATTTATCATCAGCATTTTGACCCTGTGATCCAGCTGCAGGAGGAAGCACATCTCAATACATCTTTCAAGCACTTTATTTTTTTTGTCCAGGTAAGTTGGATTAGGAGATCTTTTTTGCTCAGAAAAAGCAGTTATCTACAGAGTTATGGGGTGAATACTGCATCCATACTGTCAGGATAAAATTTGCTATATCTCTCTAGTCTTCATCCTCTCTTTTTTTTTTTTTTTTTTTGTGGTACACGGGCCTCTCCCATTGCGGAGCACAGGCTCCGGACGCGCAGGCTCAGCGGCCATGGCTCATGGGCCCAGCCGCTCCGTGGCATGTGGGATCTTCCCGGACCAGGGCACGAACCCATGTCCCCTGCATCGGCAGGCGGACTCTCAACCACTGCGCCACCAGGGAAGCCAGGTCCATTAACTTTTGATCTGAATCCTTAGTTGACCTCTTCTTCCTTCTCTCTTTATTTCTCAGAGAATGGGCCTTAGAGATGTAGACTAAAAGGAGTGAGGCTATTCTTGTCCTGCTATAATAATTAGAGAACTAAAAGGTAGGAGTGAAAAAGAGGTAGAAATGCAGAAGCTGAGCAGCTGTTTTTCGGTGGAGTTTGGAGAAGAGAGAGATGGTAGGCAGGAGAAGTCCAAAGCTTGAATCTGTGTTGTTTTTGTATATCTGTGGGCATAAACTTATAAATACCTTTCCCATGCCCCATCTCCACAAAGAAAAATGTGTTTATTTTCCCTCTATACACACTCCTCATAATGGGGATACACATTTTGTATCTTAATTTCACCTATATAAACAAATTTTAGGAGATAGTAACTTGCCAAAACTGTTGCCCTGAGCAATTATTTTACTATGGTATCCCATCTATAGACACCAATAGAAACAAAATGTTATCCTAAAATTTGCATCTGTGCTTTGGTTTAGGCAGAACATGATTGCTTGAGGTTTTAGTGGTTTGGGAGAGGGTATTCTCCCACCAGAAGGTTTATTAGTTTTACCTTATTATATGATCTTAAAGTACACTGTATCTCCCAACTCCTAGCAAAATAGTAAGGAATTGATATGTTGCATTTACCACATCTGAGCCTAGTTACATCTCAGGACACTGTGACCTTCTTAAAGGTGGGTCCATTAGTTATACAGTATTACCGCTTCTTTGAGTGAGAGTGGCCTCTGCCCTGGGCCTCACAATTTAGAAGTTCTGCTCTGGCCCTTGCCCATACTCCTGCATGGAGTGAGAAGTCCATAGGGCCAAGAACATACCTACATAGATCCCTTCTGGTATGTGCTTGGATACCTGAGATTCAGAACTCCCTACCCACATGGTCTCAAGTGTATTGCCAGGGTTTGCATGGATCTTTTCCTTTGGTCTGTACTTTTAAGGGAAGGTCATATCTCTGATAGCCAGACCTAAGGGATAGCCGCATGGCAGCTGCTGGTGAGTGTGTTTGGACATTGCCTTTATAAGCCTGTCAGGGTGTCCACACTCCTGCATGTGAGACCCATTGAAATACAGGATGGAGCTGTGGTTTGGTAGATCAGGGAGGTTTGCTGAGGGCCAGGGACTGGCTCTCCTCATGTCACTACTTTCCAGTGTAGACTGAGGAGTCTTAAGAATTCTAAATTTGAATCTGCTTTCCTGGCTACTATGGTGTGTTTGTTAAGGTAGGAGAATCGAACATATATAACAATATATTAGCTTAATGTAAAATACAGTAATTTAGTCATGTGATATATATCCATTTGTGCTATTGGTCCAGACCCTGCAAGTCTTAGTGGTAGACTTGCTATTGAGTGCCCCTTAATGCCTTCCTAGTACTTACTGCAGTGCTTGGCACGTGATGGATGCTAATAAATGAGTGAAATTGTGACCTCAGAATGCCCCACTGTGGCAGAATATCAAAAGATCAGAAGTATCAACAGCTTTTTTTTTTTTTTTTTTTTTTTTTGCGGTACGTGGGCCTCTCGCTGTTGTGGCCTCTCCCATTGCGGAGCCTGACGCGCAGGCTCAGCGGCCATGGCTCACGGGCCTAGCCACTCCACGAACAGCCACTTTTTATTAGCCTTATAATTTATAGTTCAGGGGAAATCTATTCATAATTGAATTTCAGAATGACAGTGGTAGAACTTCTAAAGAAGCACAATTTAAATCCAGGCTTTCTTATTTGTTCTTTACAGGATTTACTTATCATTTATGGACTCCACATTATTCATGTTATTCTCATACCACATTATATAGTAGCTTGAAGATATGTTAGTTAATAACATAAACTAACTTTTTTACTCTTCATATAATGCTGAAATTTGCCTGAGATGTTTTTTGATCCCTGCTTGGTTGACTATATCTAAATGGTGCCCTGGTTATTCCTTTTAACAGGAAGCAGCAACTCCCATTTATTGAGCGTTTACTTTGTGCCAGGGATTACATGAAGTGGTTAACATACAGTATCACATTTAGTCCCCATAATAATCTTATGAGGTAATTTACCCTAGTATTATTACAGATGTAAAATATAATATCAGAAGTGGTTAAGTGATTTGCGTAAGACACAGAGGTAGGGAATAGAAAAAGTTTTCTTGAAAAAAAGATTTGACTTTTATTTACTTTAAAAGCTAATTTCCAACAAATGTTAATGGAAATCTGTTTTGGAATGAGATGTAAATAATGTTTCTGGTATTTCTTCTGCCTTTGTCATACATAGGAATTCAACCTTATTGACAGAAGAGAACTTGCACCACTCCAGGAACTGATCGAAAAACTCACCTCAAAGGACAGATAAAAGAATGCAGATGTGTGCAAATTATTCCTCAAATGAAGCTGTGTGGAGTGCATTTGGATTTTGTTTTATTTTATTTTTATCTTGGTTGTTTTTATGTTAGGTCTGGGGGGCTTGTTTGGGTTCCTTTTTCTTTATTCTGAATAAATGAAACCATATACTATGGCTAGAGGAAGGCAAGAACCATTCTCTATTCAGTTGATAGGGGTAAATTTTGTCTTAGTGGCATACAGTATTTTTTCTAACTTGGGGAATTTTTGATAATACTATATGTTGAAAGAAATGCTTATTGATTGGACTGCTGATGGATGGGGGTTCTCCATTGTGTAAATTGTGGTTGATTTTTGAAGTCCCCAAAAGTCTTATGTTTTTAAGTGCCTTGGCAGGCTCATTTCTGAGATGCAAAGCACAGACATAGAACTGAACAGGGCTTGAAACAATATTAGGATTACTACCCAGGGCACTTACTGATGCATGTTTCAAAATACCTATTGATAAAAGCCATAGTTTACCTAAATTGGTGATCTCCAGCTTTTACTACATTAAAGAAACACAGTTTGTAAAGGTGTGCATGTAGAGCATAAAAATTAGTATTTCTTAATTATTTTTGATATTGATAGTAATTCTGTTCAACAGATGCTTAAAGTTCTACAAGCAGGTCTTTTCCATCTCTTGATATCTGTGATATTGAAACTTGAAGATGTTGAAATGTAATACCGATTACATTTTGGCTTCTTTCTACATGTTAACTGCACTGTAGGTGTAAAAATTCAGGTTATATATAGGTTTGCCATCTTCAGAGATGATGCTGAACTGTGAGGTTTCTTAGCAATTGCCAAATGAGCCATAAATCTGCAGAATCCCCTTCTGCTTTGAAGAGGAGGTGATAGGAGTGTGTGTTTGTTTGCAGGGGGGGTTAGTTTGAATGGTGCGTTATAGATGGGATTAAGTACAGGGAGTCAAGTTCAAGAAAGTCCTTTCTCAAAACTCTTGAATAGAATGGCATGAATATTTTAATCAATATTTTGTAAGCAAAGTCTTAGAGACTTCCTTTTAGGAATCAACTTCCATGAGAAGTTAAAAATAAATTACTAATTTTAGATATAGACATAAACATGGAATTTAAGGACTTTGGGGAAATTGATCACTTTACAGCATTTCCATTCAGTGAATGGAGCTGGTGTTTGTCATTTTAAAATGATACAGTACCTTCTTTACTTGTTATAGGCCCAACTTGAAACATTCTGACTTCTGATTTTTCCACTGTGAAAGGAAATCTTTCTTTGCAGTGATATCAGATAATGAAAGTGCTAAAGTAGTAATTAACTTTTACATTTTTTTTTTTTTTTTTTTTTGCTATAACTTTCTGGTGAACTATTCCCATAAGTAAAAAGTTCAGAAACTTAGTTTTTTTTTTTGCGGTACGCGGGCCTCTCACTGTTGCGGCCTCTCCTGTTGCGGAGCACAGGTTCTGGACGCGCAGGCTCAGCGGCCATGGCTCATGGGCCCAGCCGCTCCGCGGCACGTGGGATCTTCCCGGACCTGGGCATGAACCCATGTCCCCTGCATCGGCAGGCGGACTCTCAACCACTGCGCCACCAGGGAAGCCCCCAGAAACTTAGTTTTTAAAATAAATGTTAACATTTTTTACTTCAGTTTTACTCTTGCAAAATATCCTTTTTAGACTTCCAGTTTTAATTTTGTCATTTCTGGTAAATCTGTTTCCTTCAGTTAGAAATATATACTCTTCCTTTGTTAGGAATATATACCTTTTTCCTTGTAGAATAGAAATCTTACTCTGAAATTGTATAGACTAAAAACAGTAGAAAAGAATCTAAAATGAAATCAGTTTGTTTTTGCCATTAACAAGTAGAATAGTGATACAATTTACTGCCATTACAATTATGATCAGTAGGAACTGCCTTTTTCTCATTTCTAGCAATCATTCTCCAAGTACCAACAGTAGAAAGTAACAGGAGAGCCTGGCAGAGGCAAATATATTGGACATTCATTGGTCATACTTATTTATAAACTGCAATGAGAACTAGCTGATTTCCTTAAAACAAATCTTTTAGTATCCAAATATATAATATCAGCCACTGTGGGTTGATTCAGAAACAAAATCTGGCATCTAGTGATTTGGGGTACCATCTATTTAGGAAGATGAAACATGATTATTCAAATAGTCTTCCAGTACTGCATTTGACTTCATATCAACCTAGTAATAAAGGGGTTGCAATAGCCAAGTGTGGAGAGACAAGTGAAACATTGTTTTTGCTCATTTAAGCCTTATACAGTAGTACACTGTACAAATGTTATTATAAATTAATGTTTAGTAGTCGGACTTACTTTTCCACTCTATGTAGATAGGAGTTTCTTATCACTGTGCCAGAATCTCAGGTGCCTGCTTCTGAGTATTCCTTTAAACAGAGGTATTGGGAAGTAAGGAAATATGTATGTGTATATATATGGTAACAAAGTAGAGACATTCTCCCAGGGAGAGGCCTGGCATTGTGCATGGTGTTACATGGCTGCAAAAAGGGAAACACCAGAGCATGTGAGAAATAACTGACTTAATAAAAAGCTGCTTTGATTCGTTTGGTTCCCAGGAGCGTTAGTAAGATGCCTTTTATAAAATAAGGATCAAATCTTGGTTTTACAACATAGTTTGCTTATAAATGTCTATTGGATTCTTTCCAGATTTCTTAATTTGTAAATAACCAGGATAATGATTTCCCCCCCTGCTCTTCATACAGAGATATAAAGCAGAAGTTGGTTTTCTCATCTGCTGATGAAAGCATAAAATATAAAGTAGTAAGTTAACATAGTGTTGTCACAAAGCTTTGGTTAAATGTTGATAGGAAGCAAGTTTTAGTAATTCTTTTAAATGACGGTGTAATGATGGTGGAGAGAAATTAATAACAGAATGAAAATCTTTCCATTAGCTGTAGGTGGTGCTACTGGCTTTCATTTACTGGCTTGATTATTCTGTTTACCATAAAAACCATGGCACTAGGCTGCACTAAAACATTAAGTATGTGTTAGCTTGTAGAGGCTTTGGAGGTCAGTTTACCTTAAATTGAAAGATTTTAGATTGCTATCTCTTCCTACCTTTGTCATTTTTAAATGCTAAATGTTCAGCATAAAATTAAGTAGGAAAAGATATGCTTAGTGTATAATATGTCGCAGACTGAGGTACTGCCTGGCTTATCAGGAAAGATAAAGCACTACAATCTCTTATATTCAGGAATTACCGATAATGTGGATATTTATATTTTACATGTAAGCACCACACTGCATTTTATGTATTAGCATTTTCCTTGCTTAGGGGAAAATAGCAAAATGACAGATTTCTTTTATACCTTTGTGTACACCCTCTCTGAGAGAGTTTTTGATAACCACTGAAATGGTAAAATATGTGAGATAAAATTATTAAGTTGTAGGACTTCCTTTTAAGATAAATATGTCATACCTTGAACATCTCAAATGAGAGTTGATCTTCAGAGTAGTTTCTTTGGGAGCACTACTTATTCCAGCTATGCTGCAAAGGTGTAATGTTTCTAGAACACTTTCAGCGATGCCTTGAGAATTGGTTTGTGACTATGCAAGAAAATCTGTTTTATCATTTCAGTTGCACCGAAAACTTTTCTGGAAGCTTAATATGACCTATCTCATTCACCCAAACAACTCTACTTTGGCTGTTTTCTTAGAACTAAACTATTAAGGAAGTTCAAAAGAATATGCCATAGGCTCTGAATTTGCAGAAGAGAATGTTTTGAGCACTGATTTGTAACATCATTTAATAAAAAAATAGTTTCCTGATGTCACTGCTTTGAAGTAGGCAGTATTGTTTGGATGTACAAGTTTTATTTTTTTAATTTAGTTTAATTACCTTACAGTTAAATATAATAGTTTAAAAAACCAAAGTCTTTTTCTTATTTTCTATTTTTGGTCCATTTTCCTGATAACTTTTGGATTATATCTTGAGTACTGTAGGGTAGTTTTGATTGAAGGTATATTAAAAAAAATGGATCCAATATTTAAGATAGAAGTAGCTTAAGGAAGCAGCAGGCTTTACCTCCATGCTTTTTTTTTTTAAACTTATTTTCACGCAAATGAACAATTTGAATTTAAAGACTGGAGATCATTGTAAAAAGAATTTGGAATACAGTTTATATATTAATTATGCTGAATTTAAGTCTGTGTGTCACAGTAAAATATTTCAAATTGTATAATCATTTCATATGTGATTTATAACATTTTGAATGTCTTTTTAAAAGATATGAGACAAGAAGTATATTTGAAAATGTCACTGCATACCAAGAGGAAAACTTAACTTATTTTGAAACTTATCTGGGATATTAAAGAATATACCAATTCCTAGAAACACTATTCTAGATCTATACGGACCGCTCCTAAAATGATTTAAATATCAGCATTTTGTCATAATATTAAGTTTCACCATAGGAATTACAGTTGTTGAGCTGTCAGTTTAATGGTATATGAGATAACTGTTTAGAGCTAAAGCTATTTCATGATTTAATGGAAAAGTTTAATTTTAAGATATAATAACAATTCTGACTGCAGACAATTTGAATTTTTGAGGCTCTCCTAATGGGCTAATTATAGAGAAAAATTCATTTTGAAGGTATAAAACTGTGCTCCATGTCTGCCACTTGTAGCTGAACTGATACTTAAATTTTGACAAAAGAGAGAAAATACAGATTAAAATACTGAGTACTCTCAGTTTTGCAAGTGTGATACAAATTTCCTTTTCTGCATATAATACTACACAATAGAAAAATTTGGATTAGAATCCTCAAAGATAGTGAAATCACTGGCCTTTCCAAGCTTATGTTTACTTGTCATCTCCTTCTCCTTGGAGGTAAATTACTTCCTTACTGGTGTTGACTTTGCATATACTCCTCTCTCCCCTATCTCACAACACACACAGACACACACACACACAGACGAAAAACAAAACAGATTGATTATATAGGTCCTCACTGTTAGTGATTCTGAAGTGATTGCTGTCAATACATAGGTTGCACCTGAAGTGTTGGATGATACAATTTACATAAGCATTTTTGGTTGGTTTTGGTTGATAGCTTTCTTTAAACTACATCACTGAAGCTGAGATTACTAGAGATATAAATTTAAATCTTTTATTAATATTTAATTTCTGTTATATATTATTAAATTCTTATATGTGTGGGTGTTTCTTACAGGTTTGCAGGTTTTCATTTTTATTTTGTTTACTTAATTGTGCAAGTTGTAAAATAGATTCTTGCATTTTCATTTTAAGAACACTTTTCTCCTTAAATTGTTCTGCAGAGATAACTGTTTTTAGGGGAAATAGTTTTTTACAGCCACTAAATTGTATTTGTTATTTTTGTACATGCATTACTAGGGTGGTAAGGACACTAATCTTGTGGGGAAAACTTAAATTTGTTTTATTTGAACTTTCCCTATACATTATTACTAAAAATTATCTAGGAACAGCATCACGAGATCTAGGTTGAGAGAGAATACAATAAACATGAGAATACTTAAAGTTTTAATAGAATCATTTCTGAGGACAAAACCAGAATACTGCCAGTGCCATAAATGGAAGCGTGAGGCAGCATTCACACTGTGCAACTGTTGCAGAGAATGAGTAAGACAGGATCCTGCTCTAATGGAGATGGACAATTTCTCTCTATTAAAGTAGCTGAATCTAAAACATGAAATGCAACATGGGGGCTATATTGTAAACTGTGCCAAGATTACTCAAATTGTAGTTACTTTTGATCAGACTTCAACTGTTTTCTCGTTTTTGTTTCAAAAGGGGATACTGAGGGAATTCCCTGGCAGTTCAGTGGTTAAGACTTGGCGCTTTCACTGCTGGAGGCCGAAGTTCTATCCCTGGTCAGGGAACTAAGATCCCACAAACCATGTAGTGTGGTAAGAACTAAAAAATAAAAGGGGATACTGAATGTCAGAAAATCTGTAATATGTTTTAATTGAGAGATGTAAATAATGTATACAGACTTGTATGTCATGGGATTGGAAATATTTAAATTCTAGGGTTTTTTTTCTTTAAAGGAAGAAACTGAATGTCTATTTAAAAAAATAATAAATAGTTATGTTTGGCCATGAATCCTGACTTTGCATTACTGTTTATTTTTGCTGTAGGTGTTCCCACACTGTACAGATTCCTAGAGAAATATTGAAGGTATATGAAATATGTTGAACATTTAAAACTTGTTAGGCATTATTTTTTATAATACAACAACCCTGGAAGTTAGTGGCTCAGTGTCTTCTATACTAGAAAACTAAAGTTTAGAAATTATAGAAGTCACTGATTAGCACTAGGGTGTGAAAACCCAAATATGCTCGACCTTGAGTCCAGTGGTTTTGTTTATTTCCTTTAAATATACTATTACCATGAGAATAATTAGGAAAATAATTATTTGTTCACCTTTCCGTTAAGCTTTTATCTAATATTTTGTCTTCATTACAGACCATTAAAGAATAAACAGTATGGGAGAATCCTCATTTTACCCTGATACCTAAGTTCCAAAAGGAAATGTGTATTTTAGAGTATTCTTAGAGTATCATTATTTAGAGGTATTTATGTTTAGAGGAAATTGTGTTTAGACCATTAGGTTGAGAATATTTTGATGGTAGTAGCCATAGTTGCCCAGTGTCACTAATTGGTATTTGAGATGAAGACTAGGAGTAGAAAATGCTAGTCCATGCTGATGTGGACTGTGCCTGCATGCTTTAATAAAAAATACCTTGTTAGGGCTTCCCTGGTGGCACAGTGGTTGAGAGTCCGCCTGCCGATGATCGGGACACGGGTTCGTGCCCCGGTCCGGGAAGATCCCACATGCCGCGGAGCGGCTGGGCCCGTGAGCCATGGCCGCTGAGCCCGTGAGCCATGGCCGCTGAGCCTGCGCGTCCGGAGCCTGTGTTCCGCAGCGGGAGAGGCCACAACAGTGAGAGGCCCGCGTACAGAAGAAAAAAAAAAAAAAAAAAAAAAGTTATTATGCATATATAGTACGTACAAAGTGTCTACTGTATGTAAAGAAATATACACATATAAAAATTAACTGTTTTGCTAATTAGGTTCATTTGCTTCTACTGTACTGAATTTATATGGTTCTTTACTATATAATATTGTATGGAATGATGCATTTTGGTAACAAAGGTTCTAAATTATTTCTTTAATGCTTAAACAGCCATGCTTCACAGATACTGTTACGAACAGCATAATGATTACAGTGTCATGTTTTCTTGATGACTTAAGTTCGCCTTTACAAGCATGCAGCAAAATATATGTTCCTTTGCTAAGGAGCTATATAGGGCTGCTGGCTTGCTCCTATGCCGTGCTAGTATGTTATTTTGCTGTCACACTTCAGACTTGCTGGAAGCACTCTCCCAATCTTGCTGTTATGATGGCTTCTGCATCCTTCTGTTTTCTAGGTAGTAATGAAGGTTGCAAGTAGAAATTTATAAGCAAGTTTATTAAGTTGATAAACATCCTTTTACAGAAGTTGTTGGGTTGGTGTACACAAATGCAGGGGCCGTGTAACCACTACTTATCAATGTTCAAGACCTCTTATTTTTTCAGCCTTTGTTCTCATTTTCTCAGTTGGTTTAGAGTTTTATTTATTTATTTATTTGGCTGTGCCGGGTCTTAGTTGCGGCACGCGGAAATTTTTTTTTTTTTTTTTAGTTGCGCATGTGGGCTCTTATTTGGGGCGTGTGGGATCTAGTTCCCTGACCAGAGATCGAACCCGGGCCCCCTGCATTGGGAGCTCGGAGTCTTAGCCACTGGACCACCAGGGAAATCCCTAGAGTTTTCTTAATAAACTTGTATGTTATCAGTTAGGAGACCCTGTCTCATTCTTTAGTTATACCAGCATTCCCGCTGGAGAAAAGGAATTCCTAAATTGAAGGAGTAGTAAAATTTCTGGCAAGGAAGGGTTAAGATGGTAGCATGCTCACACCTGATTGAGTGCTCTAATACAGAGGTCCCCAGCCTTTCTGGCACCAGGGACCGGTTTTGTGGAAGACAATTTTTCCACGGACAGGGGGCGGGGGGAGCGGGGGTGGGGTCCAGACGGTAATGTGAGCAATGGGGAGTGATGGGGAGTGGCAGATGAAGCTTCCCTCGCTCACCTGCCATTCACCTCCTGCTTTGCAGCCGGGTTTCTAACAGGGGGTTGGGGACCCCTGCTCTAATACCCTGTCTTTTATCTGTAATTCCAAAATCTGAAACACTCAGAAAACAAAGTATTTTCTTGAATTCACTGCAAACTTAACCTGATCTGAGGTTAATAGCCTTTATTCTACTTAATGTGAAAACATGCTTCACTGCAAAATGTTAGTGTACTTAACACTTTTGCAGGAGGGTGAGGAATGGTTACATAATATATGTGGTATATAACTATATTTCTTTTCTAAATTCCAAAATTAAAAAAAAAATTATTTACTTGGTTGTGCCGGGTCTTAGCTGTGGCAGGTGGGCTCCCTAGTTGTGGCAGGTGGGCTCCTTAGTTGTGGCATGTGAACTCTTAGTTGTGGCATGCATGTGGGATCTAGTTCCCTGAACAAGGATTGAACCCAAGGCCCCTGCATTGGGAGCGCAGAGTCTTATCCACTGTGCCACCAGGGAAGTCCCATAAATTCCAAAATTTTAAAAATTCTGAAACAGAGTTGACTACAAGAATTTCAGATAAGGGATTGTGGACAAAAATCAGGGAGATACTTTTGAGAGTGCTTTTCTCTAGTCTCTTTCTTGTGTCATCAACTGGTTGTGCGCCATAATGGGAAATTATGCTGAAATTGATGTCAAAAGAGCTAGGTTTCCTGTTTCCCCATTTGTATTTTTGAGGTACACTCCTCAGCTTGGAGGAACTCAAGTTCTCACAGCCAGACACTGGCAGAACTGGGATTTGAAACCAGTCTTTAATTTTCCAGTGCTTAAACTCTCAGTCACTGCACGATACAAGTACTTCTTTTGTGGTTTTTGTTTTTGTTTAGTTGTTTTTTGTCTGGTTTGGTTTGGTGGAGGGGGAACCACACTTGGAGATTTCTAATCCTCAACCCCAAACATCTTTGTCAGATCCACATGGGACTTACTGAGTTCCACTTTCCTCCTGTTGAAGGTCTCAGAGACTTACCTTGTCTTATTACTCTCTCAGTAGCTGCCAAAACCCTTACCATTACATGTTTTTTTTCCCCCAAGTTTGGGTGTGGAATATAATACCTAGTAGCAGGAATTCCCTGGCAGTCCAGTGGTTAGGACTTCGAGCTTCCACTGCTGGGGGCCTGGGCTTGATCCCTGGTTGGGGAACTAAGATCCCGCAATCTGCTCAGTGGGACCAAAATATAATAAAACAAAACAAAAACCTAGTAGCTTCCCCAGCTTCCTTGCCATCCCCATGACAAGTATTCAGGCCTTTTTCATTTCAAGGATCCTGCTACTAATTACTGTGGGGATAAACAAAAGTAATATACATAAAATACTACCATAATGAAATAGGGAATTTACAAAAAATGATTTTTTCTGTTTTCATCCTAGAGTTCCCCATGGAATCACATTTTGATTTCTGCCTTCTATTTCTGAGAACAGATTCACCATTTACCGCCTTCTTCTTACTCCACCTTTTGATGCATTTCAGGTCTGATGTTGGTTGTAAGGTAGGAAAGAATAATAGGGCCTATGGTTTATGTAGACAATTTGAACTTGGGAACTTCTAGACTGGGGAGTGGCCTGTTTACTAGGTCTTTACTGTGATTAAAAACAAATTCCTCTGGGCATTTCTACACTGCATTTGTCCCCAGCTAGATGAGTCATCTAGCAGAGGACATGGCACATAAGTAGGCATTCAAAAATTCAATATACATTTGTTAACTATGTGCTAGGTGTAGGGTATGCAGATTTAATTAAGCTTATAGTCATGCTGAACAGAAACCTACCCAGTGTGGTAACTTCTTCACAGCATTGTAGGGCAGAGAAATTTTCCCTCTTTAGGTGCTGGTCTAATAATGAAGTTGACATAAAATTAACAGGAGAAAAACATTTAATTACATACGGGAGCCCCATAAAAATTAAGACTCAATGAAATGACTAAAGCAGGAAGCTTTTATATCCTTTAGACAAAGAAACAATAAATTTGTGATGAATTGACAAGACGAAGGGGTTTGGGCCTGGTGTAGTTAATTGTTGAAACAGTAACAAGGTTTATTTATCCAGTCTTCTCTGCCCTAAATTCCCAGTCTCTGGCGATAGGTTGCCTTCTACCCTCCTGGTACAGGGAAGGTAACTTTTATATGGGAGAGTTAGCCCCTGCCTTCAGGAGGAACAAAGGACGGTCAGAGTGTCCTTATTTAATTCAAAGTAATATGCCAAAGTGGCAAATTTGGGGGTGGCACCTTCTGCTCTCCTTCAGCATAAATGGGGCATCCAAATCAGGATATGAGAGATCAGAAAAGGCTTCCTGTGGTGTGGCATCTGAATACTTCAATTCCCATCCCAGTTCCACTCACACTGACTTTGAGACTTTCAAAATCCCTCCTCAGTGCCTGTTTCCTCACTGATAAATGGGGCTAACGGTAGGATCTCTGGCACTTGATTGCTAGTTAACCAATGAAAAACGTTCAAAATAATGTCTGGCACACAGTAAGACTGCAATACATTCCCAGCGCCACCTGGCCTGATGATAGCCTCCAGGCTGAGAACACAGGGTAATTCGTTTGGTTTTTCTACTACTCACTGCGTCACCCCTGACAAGTTCAAAGTTTCAAGTCCAACCAATTCGGTCCAGACGCTCAGAACCCACAAACCCCACGGGCCAAACGAGTTCCCCAAAGCCCGGCCCACTCCTGGTGACGAGGGCAGGTGGCGCGACCTCTACCCTCGAGCGCTTTTCGACCTTGGGCACCCGCCCGGATTCCCACAAGATTCAGGGAACCCTCCCTGCCACCGCCTTCTGGGCAGAGATGCGCCTGCGCGCGCGCGGCCCCGCCCCCCCGCTCCCCGTGACCCTTTGTGCTGGGCGCGCACGCAGGGGCCCCGCGCGAGGCGGGCTCCGGCGGAGGGGCCCAGGAGGCAACTCAGGTTTAGGGGAAGGCGGGGGCGTGGCTTCCCCGCTGGGCGGGCGGCCACTTCACAGTCCCGCCTCATTCGGCAGCTGCAGCCGCGCGCCAAAATCAAACCCGGGTACCCGCTGGCCAGAGAGTCTGCCGTTCAAGGCGAGCTCCGCGGCGGCGGCGGCGGCGGCCCAGTCGCGCACACCTTTGACCACCTCCCAGCGCTCCCTGCCCGACGCGCTCGGGGCCGCCACAAGACGAGGCATGGCCACCCCACCCAAGAGGAGCTGCCCATCTCCCGCAGCCAGCTCTGAGGGGACCCGCATCAAGAAAATTTCCATCGAAGGGAACATCGGTAAGGAGCCTCGGGAAGTGTTGGTCCCAAAGCAGGGGTAGTCGCGGCAGCGGCGGCTGAAGCGCCCCTTCGCTTCATCCCTGCTCCTCCTCATTGAGGGCTTTCCTCCCAGCCTGCTCCTGTGCTTGCAGACGCGCCCTCAAATTCCCCAGCCGCCGAAAGCACCCTTCTCTTGCCTCTCCAGCTTCCCTCCCGTGCCACGAGGGTGTTCGTGACCCCTGGGCGTCAGGCGGCCGGCCTAGGCCTGCGGGCCTTGTGAGGCGCGCTTGGGGTCCCTTTCATCCTCTTTGTTTGGGAAGGGTTTTGTTTTTGCGGTGTGTGGTGTTTTTTTTTGGATGTGTCTGTATGTCAGTTCTTGAGGTGCAATATACATAAGTTAAAGGATCCCTTTTTAGGTATATCCCTCTATGAGGTTTGACAAACATACAATGTTTTACTACCACCATGATCAAGATTCAGAACATTTCCATCCCTGCAGAAAGTTCCCTCTTGCTTCTTTGTAGTCAGTCTCCTCTTCATTCCTATCCCCTGGCAAGCGGTAATCTGATTTCTAATCCTGTAAGTTTTGCCTTTTTCAGAATGTCATATAAATGGATTCATAGAGTATGTAGCCTTTTGTGTCTTCTCTAGTTTAGCATAATGCTTTTACATTTATTCATGTTGCTTGTATCTGTGGTTTGTTCTTTTTTGTTTCTGAGTAGTATTCCACTGCACGGATATACCACAGTTTCTCTCTCCCAATTGTGGACATTTGGATTGTTTGCAGTATTTAGATTATGAATAAAACTGCTGTAAACATTCAAGTACAAGGAAAGAATTTTTAAATGATCTTAGCAGAAGGAGTTCCTCACTCCCTACCCAACATCCAAGTAAACATTGTGTTATGATTCAAAGACCACTGCTGTTTCTGTTCTTAACCCAGATGTCATTTTGCAAGATACATGAGAACTTCTGATTCTTCTCTATTTCCTACCACAGGAAACCTATGCCTGGTACTTCCTGTTTTGATAGGATTTTGGTTTTTTTGGTTCCAAGTTAGGTACTGGCCATTCATGCATACAGCAAATTTTAATTCTTACTGTGTTGAAAGCACTTGTACTTCTTTTAAAAGGCAAGGCAAACAGGTGCTCTAGCAGCATTCCAAGGAATAGAAAAAGCTGGACACACCCTCAAAGAGGACATCTTGTTTCATTGCTCCAATATTAAGGCACCAGTGGGAAAGATCAATGTAATAGACTCTCATTTCTTCTTAGCTGGATAAGTTCTTTGAAGGTGAATGTTTACTAGTATGATTCCTCACAGCTACTTATTGGATATAGAAGACCATGTATAAAGACAGGAGAAAGTAGATGAACAAAACCTTTTCAAAAGTAAATTTGAATGAACAACCTCTCAGATTTATACCACAATCCCTTCCCTTTCCTAAATCCACTGAAGCAATGTATCATATCTGGAAATTTACTTCCTTCCAAGCATCTTTAATCTTCTCAGCACCTAAAATAATTTTCTAATATATCACCCCCTCTCCAATTTCTCAAAATTCTCCCAGAGCAGTCTTTGTGTATACAAATGTGATTGTGTTATCCCTTGCTTAAAATTCTCTGACCTCCCCATTACCTACACTGGAAGGAGCTACAAACTGATGGCCTGCAGTTACACAATATTGGCATGCCCAACTTTGAAAAAAACATTTTTAATTAGTTGCTAGCATTTACAAATGTTGAGATTTCCCATAAACATCTAGGTTCTTGGCTTCTCTTGAAAAATCTGAAGATCTGGTAGCACTGTGTTTCTGTAAGAGAACCATTTGCTCTTTAGATGGGATATGTCACTTACCACTTAACTGTTTTCCCTGACACTGCAGCTTTGTCATTTGCTGTTTATTAATGCTCTTATACTGTTGTTCATGTGCCCTCCGCCTTATTTGCCAGACCCAAATAAGCCATATGTGTACAAATTGCTAATCTGTTTATAGAAGACTATTTCATGATTCGTCTTTTTTCTAGAATTTGAACTTTAACTGGTCATTTTCATTTCATACTCATGTAACTTGTTTTCTCATGTTCTCTAACTAAATTACTCTCTTACGTTAGATTTTGGAGTCCTTACCTACTTCTCATCTTAATGGTCTGTATAGAATGATTTTTGGCATCATTATGCCTACTTGGCATTAATAATTTTGTTAGGTCCCATGACTTTTTAAAGTATTAACATCAGTGTCCTTGGTTCTTGTTCTCCTTTGCCTTCCTAGAATTTTAATTTATTAATTAGCTTATTTTCAAGCCCCCCATTTCCTCCTCATAAGTTAAGGAACTGGATATTAGTCTGATTGGGAACTGCAGGTAACTATTTTTATACTGCTTGAAAAAAAGAGTAATTTTAGAGAGTAACTGTTATTACTCTTAAAATTTCAGAGTATGACCACATGAACTTTTTCTGTTTGTAAGCAGTATCAGAAGAAAGCTGAATGCTCTAGCCTTAAGTGCTTTCAGACTCTAGCTGATGGCTGGTGTTTTAATGTGTTCCTTGGATGCTCTTTCTGAACATCATGTTTTCCTTCCTTCCTCCATCTAGCTCAGTTAATGTCTGGTGAACGTTTTATATGCTTCCATTCACTTCTTAATGCCTTACAGTTTCTGTGCTTACCCTCTTCACATGAAATTTGTGGTCCACCAGTGTTTTTCCTATGATTAAACCTCATGGTCATCTAGTTTATCCTTAAAAGTTTTTTGCCTGTCCTCTGGTGGTAATATGACTTTTGTGTTTTGCTTCTTAACTCTTCTCTCTGTGTTACCTTCTGATTGACCCTCCCTCTTTTTTTTTTTTTTTCTTTTCTATCGACCTATGTAATGTTTTAGGTTTGATTATAGTTCTTCAAGTCAAAGGTAAGTTCTTTTTGCCCTCTTTGGATCCAGTTTATAAGGAAGAGGAGGCTTTGCTTCAGTTGCTGTTTTTTATATGTTTATCTATGTGCGTGTGCATTTGTATTCATATATATGGAGAGAGAGAGAAAACATCATGCTGACCAGAGATGACTAATATAATCACATTTGGTGACTTCAGATAGGAAGGGTGTGGTGGTCATTAAGAGTATTGTTAAACCCTGTCAAATTCTAGGTCAAGACTTTCCCTACTATTAAATTGAATGAATTCCCAGATTTTTTTTTTTCCTCGGTACACGGGCCTCTTACTGTTGTGGCCTCTCCCACGGAGCACAGGCTCTGGACGCGCAGGCTCAGCGGCCATGGCCCACGGGCCTAGCTGCTCCGCGTCATGTGGGATCTTCCCGGACCGGGGCACAAACCCGTGTCCCCTGCATCGGCAGGCGGACTCTCAACCACTGCGCCACCAGGAAAGCCCTCCCAGATAATTTTAAAATAGTGAATATAATGTCTTGGTTACACCCAAACTGTTTTCTTTTTTTCCTTCTAGATATCTCAGAAACTAGTGAATGATCAGGGAGAAGTAAAGTCTGTACAACTTTATTTTTTTTTTAAGGAGTTTGATAGAGTGCACAGAACCATAAAAGTGAAGCAGAAAAAACATGGCTATTGCTTGTAGGAAGTGTTTTGCAAAAATATTTTTATAATTTCTGTTAGCCATAGTGTCATATGGTAATTAGTGTCATATAATAATAATCATATTATTTCCCATCCTAAAACTCTGGGAATTGGATGCTTTTTTTGTTTTTTTTTTTCTGGCCATACTGCTTGGCTTGTTGAATCTTAGTTCCCCGACCAGGGATTGAACCCTGGCGCTCGGCAGTGAGAGCTCAGAGTCCTAACTACTGGACCACCAGGGAATTCCCTGGATGCATCTTTATAGTAATTTTGTGGTTTATTTGGTTGTTTCTAGATTGGTTTTAGATAGGAAAAACCTGAGTTTGTTTGTAAACTGAACAAATAGAACCAGTAGAGAGGAAAATTTTGAAAATGCAAGAGCCTGGAATGACTGTCACTGTTGTGATAGTTTACTTATTTATCACAACAGTTTCCATGAGGAGGGTATTATTATTACAGTCTCCACTGTATTATGAGGAAACAGGTTCTGAGAGGTTCAGTGACTTGCCCAAAATTACATACCTAATTAAGTGGGATAATAGCCTTAACCACTTTCCACAGTTATCTCTGTTTTGTTAAGGAAAGTAAGTCTAGGACTAGAATTTTTACTTTTCTTTTTTTTTTTTTTTGGCCGCGCTGAGCGGCTTGCGGGATCTTAGTTCCTGGACCAGACCAGGGATGGGACCCATCCCCCCTGAATTGGAAGTGCAGAGTTCTAATCACTGGACCTCCAGGGAATTCCCTAGAATGTTTAAAATTCTGTTCCATGGCTTTGGTAAACTAAAAACAGTAACAAACAAATGAGCTTAATACAGGTGGGCAGGGATCCTTTTACTTTTCATTTAAATAAAGTCTAAAAGAGAAAGTTTAGAAAATCGAATGCTTTTCTTTTTTGTATTGTTTGCTATTATAAATTTTGTAAAAGCTGATGGCTGTCTTGGCATTTTTTTCCTGATAAATTTCCTTCCTCAGTTTCACTTTTCCTCTTACAACAGCTGCCGGGAAGTCAACATTTGTGAATATCCTTAAACAAGTCTGTGAGGATTGGGAAGTGGTTCCTGAACCTGTTGCCAGGTGGTGCAATGTTCAGAGTACTCAGGATGAATTTGAGGTATGAAAATAAACTTTATTTAATAAAATAAAAATTTTTGATTTAGAGAACAGTTGTATTCTTGGATTTTTTTTGTTTTGTTTTTTTTCCTTTTGCAATAAAACTTTCAAATATAGGACTTCCCTGGTGGCACAGTGGTTAAGAATCCTCCTGCCGGTGCAGGGAACACGGGTTCAAGCCCTGGTCCTGGACGATTCCACATGCCACGGAGCAACGAAACCTGTGCACCACAACTACTGAGCCTGCACTCTGGAGCCTGCAAGCCACAACTACTGAGCCCGTGTGCCTAGAGCCTGCGCTCCACAGCAAGAGAAACCACTGGAGTGAGAAGCCCGCACACTGCAATGAAGAGCAGCCCCCGCTCGCCACAACTAGAGAAAGCCCGCACGCAGCAACAAAGACCCCATGCAGCCAAAAATAAATAAATTAAAAAAAAGCAAGCAAACAAACTTTCAAATATAGCTCTAAGTCTGTATCTTTATTTGGGCAGTAGTTATGTGGAAGTATATATATATGTATAACATGCATTGAACTATGCACTTAAGATTATGCACTCCATTGCATCTAAGTAGAATTTTAAAAGTTTTTAAAAATTAATTAAAACTTTTTTTTTAAAGAAGATGTTGGGGGTAGGAGTTTATTAATTAATTAATTAATTTTTGCTGTGTTGGGTCTTCGTTTCTGTGCGAGGGCTTTCTCTAGTTGTGGCAAGCAGGGGGCACTCTTCATCGCGGTGCGCGGGCCTCTCACTATCACGGCCTCTCTTGTTGCGGAGCATAGGCTCCAGACGCGCAAGCTCAGTAGTTGTGGCTCACGGGCCTAGTTGCTCTAGGGCATGTGGGATCCTCCCAGACCAGGGGTCGAACCCGTATCCCCTGCATTAGAAGGCAGATTCTCAACCACTGTGCCTCCAGGGAAGCCCAATTAAAACGTTTTGAAAAAAATCTAATTTTAAGTTAAATTTCTTGCGTGGCTTTTTACATTTTGTTTAAAAATAGGTAAATAAGAAAAGCAAAAACAGCTACCCAATAGCTGAATTTTACTAGTTTATTTTTCAGGACTTCTGTCTTAGAGACAGCCATTATTTTTGTACTTTCGTTCGTGTTGGACTTTCACCCTGGACACAAGTTTCAATTTCCCAGAACTTTCCATCCTACACTACAAATGAGAAAGACGGCATAATCGTTAAATTCCATTCTTTACAGCAAACTTTATTGTAGGTGTATGAAGAGAGATCTGATTGCTAAGATTTTTATTTCTGGAGAAATGAGAATTGAAATTGAAAGCAGCATAGCAGAAATGGAAAAATGGAAATGTGTGCTAGAAACTTACTTTGTTAGGTCTGAGGAGGACAGAGAGGTTTTGAAAAAGTCTCATTTTAAAAGTTTAGCTGTTGGTCTAGGGAATCTAGGAATAATAATTGAATATTTAAAATGTAAATCATATATACAAGGAGGAGTCACCAGCCAGGGTACTCTGCAGACTTTGGGGACACTGGTTTTTAATAACCAAAAGTATTTTCTCAAATACCTGTTTGCCAAACATAGTTAACTTTAGGTCTGGGACCCAGCTCACTACACCCCAATCCTTTGAATAATCTAGGACTAAACCCTGAAGGGACTTCCTTCCCATATGGACTCCATCTTCTTAAGAAATTGATATTTCAGTCTGGTCTTTGAGGAAGGGCAGAGTTAGCCTTAAGTAAAGTTTTAAAGTGGGTACATTTATTTGCTTCTTTCAACATTTTTTATTGACATATGATATAACTATAGAAAAGTATATAAACCTATGTACAGTTTAAAGAACAATTTGAAGGCTATCATCTTTGTAACCATCACCCAGGTCAAGAAATAGACCATTACTTTCTCGTTCAAGAATTCCCTGTTTGTTCTTCTCAGGTCACAGTATCTCCTTCCCAAGGGTAATAACTCCGCTGGGGTAATCACTCACATAAAATAATTCTTGTGATAATAATTTTTCTTCTTTCTAAAAAGAATTTTATGTACATGAACATATCTCTAAGAAACATAATGTTTTGTCTGTTTTTTAATGTTGTATAAATGAAATCATCTGTTTGCATTCCTTTTCCTCTTGCTTATTTTGCTTAATAAGTTTGTGAAATTTGTCTATATTGTTGCATGCAGCTATAGCTTGTTCATTTTCATTGCCATATGGTATTCAATTGTGTTCATATATCACTGTTTGTCCATTCTATACCTTTGATCAGTTTTTGAGCGGTTCCTACTTTAGTTGCTGTAAAAACAGCCCTGTTAGGAATATGAATCCTGGTGTACACATGCAAGAGTTTCTCTTGGAATAAGAAGTAAAATTACTGGGTGGTGGGTATGTGTTTGATGCCTGTTTTCTGAAGTGGTTTTACCAGTTTACATTCCCCACAGTGTACTGAAGCTGTCACTGGTTCACCCCTTTGCCAGTATTTAGTATTGTCCAGCTTCCTAAATTTTATCATTCTGTTGAACATTTAATATCTTTTATGTTTAAATTTATATTTTCCTGATTGCTAATGAGATGGTGCTCCTTTAATTAATTAATTTATTTGCCATTTGGATTTCTTTTGTAAAGTCCCTTTTCAGGTCCTTTTGCCCATTTTCCTTTGGATCTTCTGTCTTCCCTCACCCTGCATTTTTACCTCTTAAAGTATGTCTTGTGGCCTCTTTCAAAGTGCCCTATTCAAGTTTGCTTACATTTAGAAATGAGAGACCTGTGTTCTAAAAATAATCTTTCTCCCCCTCATTTCTGGGGTCAGCTGTCAGTGCAGTCATTCTCAGGGGTTAGGTAGAAAGTAGCCAAATTAAACCAATGTGAGAAATACAGAAGGAACTCTTTCATTGGGGGAATGTTAGACTAGATTGGATTAGGTGACCTTCATTTAAGGTCCATTCTAGTTTTAATATCATAGCTTCTAACTCATATTAAACATGTATAACTGGTTTGTTGGCACATTAAATGTTTCTGCCTCTCAGTGTACCTTACTTTTTTTTTTTTTTTTTTTTTTTGTCGCACTGCATGGCTTAGTTCCCCGACCACCAAGGATTGAACCTGTGCCTCCTGCAATGGAAGCGCAGAGTCCTAACCACTGGACCGCCAGGGAATTCCCAGTGTACCTTATATTAACCAAGCACACAGGAACATATATAAAAACTATAATGTCAAAAATTTTAATTTGCAGAGAGAAATGTAATTATCAGATTCATTGATGTAGGTCAACCCATTCTCTATATAGGCCCAGTAGAAGGAACTTATAAGATCTCAAGGATTTGGTGCTTTTTCAAACAACAAACAACCCCTTGGGAATTTAAATATGTGGGATGCCTCCTGGTTAAAAATGACTGCCCTAGTGAATCACTGTTAGTGTTAGGAGTGTATTGAACCCTTTAGTTGTGTTGGAGAGGAGAGGTTGAAAACATTGCATTAATATACATGGGAAGCCAATTTATAGTAAGAAGGTTGTCTATTAAGCTTAGAATCAGAGCTCAGGGGAATTAGTTATATTATCTTAATGACTGATGTCATCAGACTAAGATGCATTGATGCATCTGTCTCCATTTTAAGAATTGGCTTCATGGATCTGATATTCATGTTTATGGGCTGGAGCATTTTCTTCCTGTGTACTAGAGTCAAAATTCCAAACTTTCTTTATAACTACCATGCAAGTGAACCTACTATTATTGTTAACATATACTTTCATTAACATATACTTTCATCAGTTTCCTGTAATCCAGTCATGTCTCCACCATGTTACAATTTGGTAACCTTCATTGGATTTTGTATATTTGTGTACATTCTTGGAGGATAGTTTTAATTTTGTGTGTGTATTAAAGGCTACTATGTTGTTAATCCTCTCTACTTAGGTGGAGTTTCAGATTGTGGGGATAGTATTTTGGGGATAAGGTAGCGGAGTGTGAGGGTAGTAATGAGTGGGTGGGTTCTCAGTATCTTTGGATATTTTCTTTTTTCCTGGACCTCAAGAAATGGAATTTCTTCCCTCATCCTGGGGCCCTTCTTCCCCAGACCCATCCCTGACCTATTCCTTGGGATTATAGTGTGAACCACTATCCAAATCTAAGCTTTCTTAGCGTGCTGTCAATAGTGAGAAGTAGACTGTCTTCAGACCCAACTCTGGTAAGGCCAGTCCTACTTCGAATGTTCTCCATTTAATCACACTTCTTGGCAGTAACACTGGGATGGGAAGAGTTGGGCTGCTGGTACCTTTGATCTCTTCCCCTAGTCAGTAATTTAATTTGCACCTGCATGTTTAGCTGGTTTTGTTTTTTACCTGCCACCTAGTGGCTGAAATGTTGCTATACTATCGATGAGCTCCCACCAATTATAGCAAAATAAAGAGGGAGAAAGTACCTAGAAAGATTATGTAGTCTCCCTTCCCTTCTCCTCCCATGGAAAGAGTATCTTTAAATCATATGACCCAGATGATTATCAGTCTTTGTATTAAAGATTTATTTCAAATAACAATGTGCTTTATTTGGTGATTTATGTTATTATTTAAGCCCAAAGCTTTGATTTAATTGCTTTCTTTTAGCCTATTTTTTGAGGTCTACAGACTGTCAGGAAGATATTTTTAGTCTGTTTCAGTGAGCTGAATTCTTTTGGGAGATCTTTGTTATTTACTGTGAAATGCTATTTTACTTTTATCTAACACTTCTTACCACTAAGAAGTCACTGAAAAATTAGTAACTCTGTGAAAGAAGGGATAAAATATACTTATCTGTGAAACAACAGCATATTTTTTGATAAGTCATTCTTTTTTTTAATTTAATATTTATTTTTGGCTGCATTGGGTCTTCGTTGCTGCTTGCGGACTTTCTCTAGTTATGGTGAGCAGGGGCTCCTCTTCATTATGGTGCGTGGGCTTCTCATTGTGGTGGCTTCTCTTGTTGTGGGAGCACAGGCTTCAGTAGCTGTGGCTCGCGGGCTCTAGAGCGTAGGCTCAGTAGTTGTGGTGCATTCTTAACCACTGCGCCACCAAGGAAGTCCGTATCAGGTAAATTTAAGGTAATACTTGCTGCTATAGTAAAGTCTCTGTGGTTTAAGATGATCAAATTTCATTTCTCAGGCAGTGTACAGTACAATATGGTATTGAGTGGATGGCATACCATGCTGTCACTCAGAGACCCAGACCCCTTCTAATGTGTGGCTCATCTAACCTCTAGGACAGTGCTTCAAACTTTAGTGTTCAGCAGAGTCACCTGGAGGACTTGTTAAAACAAAGACTTGGCCCTCAACCCCAGTTTCTGATTTAATAGGTCTGGCAGTGGGGTGTTGAAAATGTGCATTTCTCTCAAGTTCCCAAGTGAGGTTGATGCTGCTGTTATGGGGATCATACTTTGGTACCCCTGCCCTGGAGTTGAAGTTGAAAACCGCTGCTCTAGGGCCTTGGTGTCTTTTGCTTCCAGTTGATGAATAAAGAAAGAATCATCGCTTTTGAGAGGTTTTTATGGGTCCAGCCTGGACATGATAAACATTGCTTCTGCCCTACTTCCACTGGCTAGAACTGAGTCTTCTGGCTGTAGTTAATTACAAGGGAGACTGGGAAATAAAGCCTAGCTGTGTGTCCAGGAAGAAAAACAACCTGGTTTTAGGGAACACATAGTAGTATCTATCACACGCAATTTCTAAATAGAAGTACTTTAAATATATTTGTTAATGTAACTTAAACTCAAAAGTGCCATGTTTAATTAATCAATGTAGAAGTTGTTGAAGTTTATTTTAAAGTTAATGGGTTATTTTAGGGGATTCTCTGGTGGTCCAAGTGGTTAGGACTCCGCTCTTCCATTGCAGGGGGCACGGGTTCGATCCCTAGTCAGGGAGCTAACATCCCACAAGCCTTGGGGCGCAGCCAGAAACAAAACAAAACAAAATAAAGTTGATGGTTATTTTGGTAATAGGTATTTGTGCACCAAAGACAACCTGAAATAGTAAGCCCAGATAATGATAAAGACAAAAAATTGTTTTTCACGGTTAGTTTTATTTATAAAAATAACTCAGATGTATTTTCACTAGTGAATTTGTATTTATGTCATTAGTGAATTCTCCATTGTATAATTATGTATCCATGTCTAAGATAAAGTTATTAAAATACAGAGCACCAGCACCAGTTAATTATCCACATAGTATCTGAATATCTCCCTTCAAGAAATCAAATTAAGTATTACTTGCTTTATAGATATGATATAACTTCAGTATTTAATAGCAGATCAACATTTTGGAAAGAATATGGCTTTATTGTCAGTCTTAGGCTTGAATCCTAGTTTTGCTGCTTACCAGATATATTGATATTAATGAGTTATTCAACCTTTTTGAACCCCATTTTTAAAATTTATAAAATAGTGTCAGTAATGACTATTTCATAGGGTTGAGATAATGTATGTAAAACTTTTCATGTAGTCCCTGGCATAAAATAAATAATAAACAGTAGATATTATTATAATTATCATTAAACCTGAAGTATATTTTCTTAATGAAGGGATATTTTGTGTAATGAACTTACTAGTTCTTCAACGAAAATTCTTTATTTTCTAAATCTAAGACATAAAAAATAAACTTTTAAGAAAACTTAAATATGGCCTTTGTGTTCACATTCCTAAGCACATTCTTTTTTGAAAATATGCTAAGTAAGCTACAGATAATGCAACCAGGGATAGAGTAGACTAATCCAAGACTTAAATTTTGTGTTTTGAATTAACATTTATACTGCAGAGAATTCCATGTATACGTAAATACCACTACACCTCTGCCCCCTTTTAGTGTCAAGTAAAAAAACTTTTTAATGTATATTTTTTGATTATTTGATAATTAATAATTTAATATTATGTATTTAATATTTAAATATATTTTATTGAGCTATAATTGACATATAATATTGTATTGGTTTCAGGTGTCCAATATAGTGATTCAACATTTGTGTACATTGTAAAAATGATCACCACAGGAAGTCTAGGTACTGTCTGTCACCATACTAAGTTGATACAATATCATTGACTCTATCCCACATGCTGTGCTTATTTATTTTATAACTGGAAATTTGTACTTCTTGATCCCCTTTACCCATTTCACCCCACATCCCCTACCTCCCTCCACTCTGGCAACCCCCCATCTAGACCTGTGAGGCTGGGGGTTTGGTTTCGTTTGTTTGATTCCACATGTAAATGATATCATGTGGTATTTGTCTTTCTCTGTCTGACCTGTTTCACTTAGCATAATACCCTTAAGTTCCATTAATGTTGTTTCAAATGGCAAGATTTTGTTCTCTTTTATGGCCAAGTAGTATTCTATTGTATACATACACCACATCTTTATCCATTCATCTGTCTACAGACACTTAGGTTGTTTCCATATTTTGGCTATTGTAAATAATGCTGCAATGAACCTAAGGGTACATATATCTTTTCATACTAGTGTTTCTGTGCCTGATATATTTTCTTAAATTTTTAAAAATTAATTAATTTTTTTTAATATGTGGAATAGCAGCTTGTGCTCTTTAGCTAAGTTCTCTTATAAATCCAGCAGTCAGTGTTCATAAAGTTGTCTCTGTTACTAAGAGTAATTTCCAAAATGCTATGCTTACTAGGGTAGGAAAATAAAATAGACACTACTGTCCTCTTTATAAAAATAACTACACGAAAGTTTTGGTTGAGTTGATATACTTCATTTAGCTGGAAAAATTCACTTGTATGAAATATTTTCTCCCTGGATGATGATGAATAAGTGGAAAGTCAGTTTATAATTAAATTAACAAAGGCCCTTGAAACTACTAAAATTAAATTTATTCTTTAAGCAGTTTGGGAAGGCAGTTACTTTACCCTTATTTCAGTTCATCATCTGCTCAGTATTTCTAAACAGCCCTATTGTTGACTGTTAGCCCCTTGCCATTTTATGCTTTTTTTTCTTCCAGTTTTGAGAAGAAGTTTCACTTAATTATGTGGTTTGTGGTATGAAATTTAAATTCTGCCTCAAAGTGCCATGTGTTTGTGTGGTTTTTAGTTCTTAACTGAAACTGAGGTCCGTTGTAATGTTTACACTTCTGGATTTTTTTTTTTTTCCTCAGAGGAAAACCACCTACCTTGAGCATGAACTTTCAGGAAGTGTTCAGGGGTATTTGAACTAGGATTGAGAATAGGAATTAGGCAGTCATATTTTATTCCTTGAAAGTTAGAAAACAAGATTAAAGACTGTATAACTGTTGGGGGACTCTTTATATAGCTTGACATAGAAAAGATGATGAAGCATCCCTGGGTCCTGGGTTTTGTTTTTTCTTTCTTTCTTTTTTTAAATTTTTATTTTATTTGGCCACGCAGCACATGGGATGGATCTTAGTTCTCTGACCAGGGATCGAACCCATGTCCCCTGCATTGGGAGTGTGGAGTCTTAACCACTGGATCGTCAGGGAAGTCCCTTGTTTTTTCTTTCTTAATCTGACAACTCTAATATCAAAAGTATTCTAATGTATTCTATTACTGTGCAATCAATTTTAATTTAAAAAGAAAGAAAATACTGTCACTCAAAGGAAGAAATTTCAGGGACTTCCCTGGTGGCGCAGTGGTTAAGAATCCGCCTGCCAATGCAGGAGACACGGGTTCGACCCCTGGTCCGGGAAGATCCCACGTGCTGTGGAGCGACTAAGCCCGTGCGCCACAACTGCTGAGCCTGTGCTCTAGAGCCCACGAGCCACAACTCCTGAGCCTGCGTGCTGCAACTACTGAAGCCCGTGCGCCTAGAGCCTGTGCTCCACAGCAAGAGAAGCCACTGCAACGAGAAGCCCATGCACCGCAATGAAGAGTAAACCCCGCTCACCACAACTAGAGAAAGCCTGCACTCAGCAACGAAGACCCAGTGAAGCCAAAAATAAATAAATAAATTTATAAAATAAAAAAAGGAAGAAATTTCAGTGGCTTCTTTCTCTTTACCCCCACCCTCCCCCTTTTTTTTTTGATTGGGAAGCTTCGAATGTTAGAATTTGCTGACTTTGGCCTGTAGTAGTGAAGTGGCAATGGATAGATGCTTACAATTATTTTCTATATTTTTTGCAAGTGATTCATTGAGGATACCAAGCCTCTTTAAAAAAAATTCATGGTTTAAATCAGATATTCCCTAACATAAATGACTTTAATCAGATTATATAAAAATCTAATAACAGGAAATTGGCTCTACAGAGTAAAGAAAAGTGGATGCTGTGGTTGGAGAGAGAATAGCAAGTAGATACCACCAAGGTATCTCAGGAGTTTTTCAGTGTGATAGGAATACTGGAAGGGACCTAAGATGGCTTTGCCTGTTTAATTACTTAAACACATTGTACTCTGTCCAGGGAAGGTGCTAGGCTAGAAATCTGAACAAAGCAGTGTTACTAGTAAACTTTTGTGATATTTTGTAACAGCAGTAAGTAATTTCACTGTGTTCAGAGGCAGGTGTGAATATCTCATTGTCTTGATTTGTGTTTCTTTAAATTAGCAATGTTGAGCATATTTTCATATGCCTATTAGCCATCTGTATATCTTTGGAAAAATGTATATAAAGGTCTTCTACCCATTTTTTAAATTGGGTTGTTTGGTTTTTTTATTTATCCAATTTTTTTAACTTAATAAACATTAAAATAGCCCTATTGATCATTGCTTTTTGTTTCCTTTTTCAAATTCAAAATAGGAACTGACAACGTCTCAGAAAAGTGGTGGGAATGTTCTTCAGATGATGTATGAGAAACCTGAACGGTGGTCTTTCACCTTCCAGTCATATGCCTGCCTCAGTCGAATACGAGCTCAGCTTGCTGCTCTCAATGGCAAGCTCAAAGATGCAGAGAAACCTGTATTATTTTTTGAACGATCTGTGTACAGTGACAGGTATATATAAATGACTGTACTTGTCAGTTTGGAATCTTGGCTTAGAAGTGGACTTTTTTTTCCTGTTTCCTGGGAATCAAAGTAATAAGAGAGGCTGAGTTAGAGATTTGAGATGGAAAATGACATTTAATACCTTCAGCAGTTTGGTACTAATGCCATTAGGGAAGTTCTAGCATAATTGCTAGCTGCCATAGAAACTGGTATAGTGGCCATCTCATCTCATTCAAATTTGCAGAGAAGTTTTTTTTCTTCCAACCCTCTTAAAATTCTTATCTGCTCTGGTTAAATCTGGATCTGTATTCTAGACTTGCACCTGGAGCTAGGAGATCATATATCTCTAAGGGAGGCTTAGAATTACCCTGCTTATTATGTAAGGATTGTTTTACTGGAGTTAGATCTGAGGTTCTCAAACTTTAGGACCCCTTACATTCTTAATAATTATTAAGGAGCCCAAAGAGCTTCGTGTCTTATTGATATTTATGTTATTAGATATTAAGGTTGAGAAATATAAAAAAGATTTATTAACTTATTTGAAGTTAGTAATAATAAATCCATTACATATAAACATAAGAAAGATGTGAAAATTATATCTTTCACAACAAAAAATTAGGGAGAAGAGTAGCATTGTTTGAAACTTTGCAGATCTCTTCAGTGTCTGACTTAATAGAAGTCAGCTGTATTCTCATTTGTGCTTCTGCTTTTAAGCAGTTGTAAGCTTTTGGTTGAAGTACAGTATATAAAGTAATCTGGTCTCTCACAGAACCCCTAGAAGGGTCTTGGGGACCACCAGGGGTTCTCACACCACATTTTTGGGAACCACTGGCCAAGTACATATTTTCTGTAGTTGGAGATAATGTGTTGTTTTCTTCTGTTGTTTTTTTCTGCTAACCAAGGCATTATCCATGGGTTTAGGAGAATGTTTCATGTCCATTTAGTAGATCCGTTTTTTCTTTGTGTTTTTTGGAAAGAATTTATGTGTTGATATAGGCTCTCTTTCAGGTATATTTTTGCATCTAATTTGTATGAATCTGACTGCATGAATGAAACAGAGTGGACCATTTATCAAGACTGGCATGACTGGATGAATAACCAGTTTGGCCAAAGCCTTGAACTGGATGGAATCATTTATCTTCGAGCCACTCCAGAGGTGAGAAACAATAAAAATTTGTTTTGTCCATTGACATTTCAGAATAATATTTAGAAATCCTTTCAGTGGTATGCAATGAAGGCGATTTAGTTTAACTCCACTCCCCACCTCCAAATTAGAAACTCATAACTGTGTAGATAGAAACATTCTTTTTTTCTAAGCAAACTGTAAGCCCACATTTGGAAGTTGCTCTTTTAGGCCCCTTCTCTGTTCTTCCTGAGTTCTGTTCTTCATTATTTCTTCCTGACTTTCTCAGGGTCTGTCATCTATCACAGCTGCATTAAGAAACTTTCTAAAGCAACCCCTAGAATGTAGGCTTCATGAGGTGGAAGTTTGGGTATTTTAATTACTGTTGAATTTCCAGTGCCTAGAATAGGGCCTGGGTACATAGTGGGAGATCAGTAAATGCTTGCTGAAGGACTGGCCAAGTTGGTGGAGGTCCATTTCAAGAAATCCTTTATGGTTGTTTGTGGCTTGGAATGGGTGGGCAGTAGCAGCTGTAGTTGAGAAGAGCCTTAGAGGACCCTTGCCGTTTTCAGTTAAGGAAGCTTACTTGAAAATGTGCCTTTTGTCATAGGTTGTAAATAGCTATTCTTGTTTACATATGAAATTATGTTATGAATCCAGGAAGACCAAGTAGATAGATGCCTTTCATAAAAGTAACCTAAATAAGAACTTACATTTGTTAAGGAATTTCTGGTTTTGGTGCTTGCATCCCCATTTTTCTCTGTTTTTTATTCCTGTTTCTTCCCTAAGTCACAAAGTAGGCTCTGGTGAATGTAAATGCCATGACTTCTAGCCTGAAAGAATACCGTATTGCTATTGAAGCTGAATTTTCAAAGAAACTAGGTTTCTGATTCCAAGGGATGATTATTTTCCTCTTCTAATGTCAAGTAAGCCAGAATTTAACAATAATAATTTTGAAATTCACTTTTATTTTTGAAAAGAATTTTTGTTTTTAATTATGAAAATAGTAAATACAAATATAGAAGAAAACATGAAGAATACTAATAATTTCATTCTGCTAGAAACATTCATAGTCAATATGTTAAAGTCTAACACAAAACTTTATTTTATTTTTAAAATATTTTTAAACAAACAAATTTATTAAAAAAACAAAAACAAAAAACATTCTATTCTGGTTACCACTCTTTGTTACAGTCTATCCCATTTTAACTCATTTCTATTTTTCCCATGGTCTTTAGAGATAAGAGCCTCAAGGGTATGGAACAGTTTGATAGTAATTCCTCATCTTGAAGATTCACATGCAGTGTCAGTTGTGTGAATTAGCACCCCAATGCTACATGTGTCTGAGGCCTGTGATTTCAGGTTCTCACTGGTGAATTATTTATTTTCAAGTCATTGTCTTGAAATGTTTTCAGACTCCCTCTCTCTCACTCGGGCTTGTGGATGGAATTTTACTAGCTCTCTTTTAATGAAGGCACAACCTCTCAAGACTCTTTGTTTTCTTCAGGAAGATCAGCTCCAGCTCCTTATACTACATAACCTACTGCCTCAAATCTCCTGGAATGACTCAAAACCTCAAAGCTCCATGCTCCAACCTGGGCTGGTTGTTCTGCCATTCTGTTTCAAATTTGCTGTTTTTGGATTTTTTATTCTTATCCTCTTGAGACACCTATTCACTTATCTCTTGTGTATCTTGTTTTGCTTGCCTTTTTTTTTTTTTTTTTTTGTTTACTTTTTTTTTTTTTTTACATTTTTATTGGAGTATAATTGCTTTACAACGGTGTGTTAGTTTCTGATTTATAACAAAGTGAATCAGTTATACATATACCTATGTCCCCATATCTCTTCCCTCTTGCATCTCCCTCCCTCCCACCCTCCCTATCCCACCCTTCTAGCTGGTCACAAAGCACCGAGCTGATCTCCCTGTGCTATGCGACTGCTTCCCACTAGCTATCTATTTTACATTTGGTAGTGTTTATATGTCCATATATATACTACCACTCTCACACTTTGTCCCAGCTTACTCTTCCCCCTGCCCGTGTCCTCAAGTCAATTTTCTAGTAGGTCTGGGTCTTTATTCCCCTCTTGCCCCTAGGTTCTTCATGACCATTTTTTTTAAGATTCCATATTATATATGCGTTAGCATATGGTATTTGTTTTTCTCTTTCTGACTCACTCTGTATGACAGACTCTAGGTCCATCCACCTCACTACAAATAACTCAATTTTGTTTCTTTTTATGGCTGAGTAATATTCCATTGTATATAGGTGCCACTGTTTTATATTTAAGGTAATTTCTCTATGGTGAGATCTTTAATTAAATCATTCAGGAAGTAGTCATTGAGGACTCACCTTCTGAGTTGCTTCCTCCCAGTTAAGTGCATTTAAGCCTAGGTTCATGGGAGTTGAAGGAGCCTTAGGGAGGGAGGCATGCTGACTCCTCCACCATCTCTAGACTGTGGTGGGGATGAGCCCCTCCACTTGCAAAGACTGAGGGGAAATAATTTTCCTGAACTAGCTTTCAATTCATGTCTGTGTTGGCAAAATAATGTAAGCTCCTGGGAGAATTCTTCCATTGAATTATTTCTTAGGAATAAATACCCAGGAGTTGGATTAATGGGTCAAAGATTATAATTTCCTCTTAGCTCTTGAAATGTATTCCCATTATGTTTTCCAAAATTGTACCAATCTGCAATGTTACAGGGAGGAATTAGTGTGATTCTGCATGTCTCATTTTGGATTAGAGCCTAACATGTACTTAGATTTATGTTACTTTAATAGGTGTAAAATTGAATTTCATTGTTGCTTAAATTTAGATGCTTTCATTACAAATGTTCCTGGATATTTTCCATATGTTTCTTTATTGGATCTATTTCCTAATTTTTGATGGTTCCACTCATGATAATCACCCATCTATCTATTGGAGTGTTGCTAATTTTCTTACAATTTTAGAACCATTACAATTCTTGTGAAAATGATACATACTAATTGCAAAAACAATAAATATGTGTAGAGAAGCATAAAGAAAAGGGGCGATGAAATCATTGTACAGTGGCCTGGTTCTGCCCATGAGGGGAATGAGAACACAGATTAGTCTGCTTCCTCTCTATTAGTCCTCATCTAAGGGAGAAGAGCATGAATAAGGTAGATGATTGAGAAGTCCTACATTCTAGATAATTGCTATTATGTCTTTGGTGACCATTTGTGTTATATATTTAGCAAATCATTGTCCATTTTCTTTTCACCTTGTTTATGTGTAGTTGGCTTTTTCTATACAAAAGTCACTTTTTCCGCTATAAAATTTATCAATGTCACTTAAAAGTGACATGGGTGGGAATGTATAATTGTTTAAATTCTGTGGAATAATCACACATCCTTCTCCACTGATGTCAGTCCTGGCCATTTGACTAAGGAAGTGTGACCAGAAGTGGCACTGCCACATTCAAGAGGAAGGTTTAAGATGTGATGATGTTTCTACTGTATACTCTTTTGTCCTATCATGGTATTGAAAATGTCTTTACAGGGTCTGCTCATTCAGCATGACCCTCAAATAAACACTAGTGAAGAGCGTCCCAGCTGATCTGTGATGTACCTGTAGCATGCGTGAGAAATACGTGAGATTTTAGGGATTGTTTATTATCACCATATAACTTAGCCTGAGCTGCCTGATAAAGTCACACTCCTTCTAAAGGCATCACATAATTCCTGTTAAATTTCTTTTTAGTTACTATGCATTTGTGTCACTTCTGTAAACCACACACATTGTTTTATTCTATCTTCTTATTGACAATTGTTTATAGAATGGAAGTTGATTTGTACTTATGATTTGTTATTTTTTTGAATCTTCCAACCAAATATTTGTACTATGAATAACATTTGTCTGTTCTTCAGTTCTCCCCTAGTGTCATTACCAGGTGTCCACTATTTCCTGCATGCTCTAGACTTCTAAAATAAACCTTTAGTACAGACCTCCCTTTGAGTGCCATTTCTCAGCCTTAATTTTCCTAAGTTCATCAATGAACCTATTTAAAAACTTCTTGATTTTACTCCCCAATATTATTTCTTTCCATACCCTTGGTCCTAAATAACAGCAATGCCAGCACCCTGTCTCCTAAGCCTCTAACGTGGGTGCGTGCTTTGACCATCCTCTCATCCCACCAGGAGCTTCCTATATTAACACTGTGTCTGCCTCATGTCAATCCCTTTTCTTTAATCACTTAAACAGCTATGACAGTCGCAACTACACCAACTGTTTCCTTACATCACTGCCAAAGGTGATTTTTCTACAATTCATTTTTGATTATTTTTAATAATTTTCCATGATTTCCTTTTGCTTCCAGAATAAAATCATTGAATTGTATTTTGTACTCATTGACAAGAGCATTTCAGCTTTATGACTGCATGACTCATCATTTGAGGTCCAACAGACTTCTTTTAACAGTGAAAAACAGACAAGGCGGGGAAAATATGCTCATGAGGGTTCTGTCTTCACGACATTCAGCACTGACATGTAGGAAAATAGAGAGACTATAATAATAAAGATACTCATCTGTAGACTGAATAACGGAGAGCATTTTCCCACATATACTGTGTGGGGTTTGTTTAATTTTGTTTTCTGCTGACATATTAAAGCCAATTTTATCATCCTTCTTTGGTTGCTGAATTGTTCAGGTCCTGTTGGTTGCTGGGGTTCTTGTGTTCATGCATCTTTTGTGTCTAATTATTCTATCAATTGTTAAGAGAGGAGAGTTAAATTTTCCAATTATAGTTGTGGATTTTTCTACTTCTGCTAGAAGTTCTATCAGTTTTATTTCATGAATTTTGAAGCTCCTTTGTTTGGTGCATATACATTTGGGATTGCTCTCACTTCTTGATGTACCACCACTTTTTTTTCATTTTAGTGTGTCCTTCATTGTCTCTGGTAAATTTTTTCCTTGAAATCTACTTTATCTGACATTTCACTTGATTAGTGCATATGTGATATATGTTTTTCTATCTTTTAACTTTCAACCTGTTTAGACTACTATATTTGAA